ATATATATATATATATAAAACCAAGATTCCCTTAAAATTTCATCAGTGTAGTTTTTAAGGTCTTCAAGAGGGACACTTTAGATGTACTGGAGCATTGCTATGAAGTTATTCTTGGTATTTTCTCTGCGGTTGAAGCAAAAGTGAGAGGATTTATTCTGAAATAAAATTATGCTACACCATTATCTAATTTTGTCATGAACAGTTGGACAGTTACCACTCTATTTTGCTTAGCTAGGTTCAAACCTTATATATTTTGGGAAGAACGATCTACAGTAAAGAAAGGGGATCATTTCAGTCTTTGGTGGTAAAGAGAAATAGAGAAATACCTGGAAAATAATTATTTTTGACATTCAAAACTTTACATTCAGAAGATCTAAAATCAAGCCTTTTCAATGTCAAGCAGGGCTTTGGGAGTACCACAACCTGCCTTCTCCAGGTCTACGAAGGTCTTAGGCCCTATTCCAAACAATGTCATTTCTGTCTGCTCAAAAACCATCAATGATTCCCCATTGCCCATTTTGTAAAATCCAAACTCCTTGGCCTACTGTTTTTCAACCTTACTCAGGATTGTCCTAGCTCCATGACAGGCAGGGAGAATGACAAAACCAAAGTTCTAGAGGCAGGAAAGCACAGTGGGTTTTTAGGGGCAGTGAATGAGGGCACCTGAAGATTGGTCCATACACACCACTTCTCACGTTGCGCACATTTTACTGAACTCTTCTCTGTGCCAGAGACTAGCTAGCAGTAGGGAGGCAAAAAATGAATAATTCACCATCCACATCCCCAGCCCTGCATCTGCTGTGGGACTCAGGGCTGAGAAACAATCACTGCAGAGGCAGTTAACCGCTTTGATACCTGGTTGGGTCACAGTTATGGCAATAATGGGAATTTGTTTCCTGATTTTTTATATACAGTTTCCTCACATTACAACAGAACTTGAAAAAAAAAAAACCACAAAGTCATTAAAATACGATCTGCTGCTATTAAAACCTACCCAGTGATCTCATACTTAGTAGTTGAAACAGCTAATGTGCACACACTGGCAGCACGTGGAAACTTTACCCCCTCCTCTTTGTTGTCCAGCTGAGGGTGGCTTTTCTCCTGGCTACCCTTTGTGACAGGGAACTATTTCTCCTTCTTTCTCTCCTAGCAACAGCAGCATTCTTTCAGATGGCATTTATCTCCTTCTCTGAGTAACCGCCTAAGTCCCTGGGGAAGGTGGAGGAGGACGGGGGCAGGGGAGTTCCAGGCCTTCTGCTCCCTCTGGGAGGAAGCTGCTTTCAGTTTTCAGCCCTTGGAAAATTCCAGAGAGAGGGCCTGGGGATGTGTGCTCTGTGATTGGGTTTCATCTGATACTGACAGTGCAAACACACAGTGTCAAAGGACAGGGCTGAGGCCATTCTGAGGAGCAGGTGGAGTGGATGTAGAAGTGACAAAGGTGGAAGAATAGGAAGAGCAAGCTTTAAGGAGGAATGAAGTGCAAAATGAGCACGGAAAAAAAAGAGAGAAAAATGGTGTTGGTTATGTGGCACCCAAAAATCTAGAGAAATAAGAATAATAATAAGAAAACTGTTTTATAATAGTGCAGGTGGATGGGGACAAGAAAGGATTCAGTAGTTAAATTGAATCACTGTTTCCCCAGAAATGACAGGAACCTTAGAGAGATACTCCTTGGCATGCGATGACATCGAGGTCTGCAGTGACATCAGAGCCACTTGGCATTTCTCATTTTAGTCCAGTCAAGACCCAGTAGGCCCCAGCCCAAGTTCTGAACAATTCAACCTGCAGGCAAGGGAAAGAGCGAATGAGCTGCTGTTGGAAAATGAAAAATGTCCTTTCTGATTTAACAGTGAGCAACAGCAGTAATCATTTACACACGAAAGCACTATAGGCCAGGCACACGACTCTGAGTTCTTCAAATATATTCATTCCATCATCAGAACAACCACATGAGGAAGTTATGATTATTGCACCCATTTTAAAGATAAGGGCACTGAGGCACCAAGAGTGAGAGTAAGGTAACTTATGAGCTGATGGTCACTGCATCTCAGCCAGGGTGCTGGCTGATCTCCTGTGCTACTCTCTAATCCAGAGAAATCAAGGAGCAGGCTCTTGCACAAGATGCCTGTGGGTAACCACAATTTTTCCTTCCATTCCACAGCTCTGGAAAATTCTCAGAGCAAATTAGGGAAAGAAGGAAGGGAAGAAAGGAGGGAAAGAAAGGGCTGCTGAGGGTACTCCTGAGCTTTTGAGCAGGAAGACTCCTTGAATGTTTTAACAACCCAGAGGATTGAGGGAGAAAATTGGTACCCACCGATACAAGGATACCTTGTAATAACCACTTCCTACCTCCGACCCCCAACCATCACTACTGTGGGAAGCCATGGTGCCAAAGCTTCTGTGAGCTTGAGGGTGGACCACTTGGAGCTTGTTTAAATAATGATTTTGGGGAACAGTCTCTAGAGGTGGGGCTTTTGTAGCTGCAGTTGAACAACTCCCCAGGGTGATTCTCATGCACACTTACGTTGAGAGCCTCTTTATTCTGATCTGAGAATAATATAGTTCTTTTGCTTTCCCCTAGGGCTACAGCAGTAATGTGATGAGAAAGGAAAATGGCTTTTGACCTCAGGATTTTTAATATATTCACAAGCTGACTTAAAATGACAGAGCCCGGAGATTTTTGCCTTTGGGCATGCTGTGCCTCACTTTATCCTGTCAGTTCCCTGGTGATCTTTTCTGACCTTAAAAGGGTTTTTTTGTTTAAAGCCCTTGACTTTGGAAAAGTTTAAATCAGGAATGTTTTTGACTTCAAAGTGATCTGTAGCTGGGAGATTATTTCTGGCATGTGTCATAATGATAAATCTCAGGTTTGGGAGGAGAAGTGCTCCCTAGGTGGTTCTATGAAACTGGCAGTGTTTTGGTCATTGTTAACTTAAGCCCCTTTATTGTCATAAAATCTAGGAATATCTC